GCGAAGGGTGGGGGTCCTGGGGTAGGCGAGGTGTAGCACCCAGGTTTTGGGGGGCACGGGGTAAGCAGCTGCCTCCCTGCCCTGGCTCTCACCTACTCAGGAGACATCGGGCTGCACTGCAGCACCCCTGACCTGCAGCACGTGCACTGCGAGTGGAGCTGGGACCCCGCAGAGCCCCGCAGCTCCCACCAGCTCTTCTACCGGGCGCCTCCGAGCGGGCCTGGCACAAGGTAAGGGGCATGGCGGGGACGTGGTGCTCAGACAGTGGGGCAGCACATACCAGGGTCCACCAGCTCTGCTCAGTGTCCCACATCCCACACTGTGCCACCTGGCTCTGTGCCCTGCCCTGCCCTACACCATCGACCTCACACCTCCCCACCACCACTCCTGGCCACACTGCCCCTCCAACTACGGGCAGCGCTGGCTTTCCTGGGCAAGTGCATGAGGAGTGAGGCAGCGCTGGCTGTGGGGACAGTGTGGCCCCAGAGCAGGGCTGGCAGCGGGCAAGGGGGGGGGGCCGCCACGGTGGGGCTGACTGGCTCCCCCTCCTCGCGCAGGGAAGACGCATGGCAGCGGTGCGAGGAGGCAAGTGTGGGGGTGCAGGGCACCCACACCTGCACCTTCCAGCCCAGGACTGGCAGCGCCATCTCTGTCCTGGTGAATGTCACCCGGCCCCACGCGCCACCCACACTCAGCTACTTCAAGGAACCCTTCTGGCTGCACCAGGCTGGTGAGTCCCAGTGCCACTGTGGCCCCTGCCCCTGCCCGGCTGGCGGGGTACACGGCGTCACATGTCCCATTCCATGGTAGCGACACATCCCCATCCCCAACAGTGCTCACAGATGCCCCGCAGCTTGTGCAGGCGACGGTATCGCAGGGCCGGCTGAGCCTGCAGTGGCTGCCACCCCTGGAGGCACTTGCGGGGGAGCTGAGCCCTGCCCACCTCTGCTGCCAGCACATGGCCCGTGTGAGGGCAGGCAGGATGGACCCGCACCCCAGCACTGCCTCTCAGCCACCCTGCAGCAGCTGTCATCTCCAGCTCAGCTCTGCCTTGCAGGTCCTGCAGGTCCCACGGGCGGCCAGGAAAGAAGTCCTGGACCTACGGCCAGGTGCCCGCTACCAGGCCCAGGTGCGGGCCCAGCCCAGTGGCCCATGGTACCAGGGCAGCTGGAGCGCCTGGTCCAAACCTGTCATGGTTGACGCCATGGCCGATGCGGGTAAGGGACAGGGCAGGAGCGGAGGCTGCAGCCAGAGGAGCCACACGGCCAAGGGCAGGAGACCAAGAGTGCTGGAAACGGGATGGGGAGCACCAGGAAGAGGGTGACAGGGCTGTGAAGGGCTCAGTGGTGGCGGGCCTGGGGAGGGCTACAGTCCCAGCATTCCTCCTCCAATGCAGGCTGGATCATCCCGAGCGTTACGGTGGTGCCGCTGCTCTTCACAGGAGTGCTCCTGGGGCTGCGGTGCACCTTCCCCTCCCTCTACAGGTAAGGGCTGTGCCTGGGGCAGGTGCGGAGGGTCCAGCACCAGGCCTGGGCACCTTGCCCGGGGGCGTCAGGGCACCCCGGGACTGAGGTTTGCCTTTGACACCCCCTTCCCCGCACCCAGCAACGTGAAGCAGAAGCTCTGGCCCCCCATCCCTGACCTGCACCGCGCACTGGGCAGCTTCCTCCACGAGAGCAGCAAGCACGCCCAGGTGAGGGGCCGGGGCAGAGCCCACCGCGGCTGAGCCCCCAGGGGGGCAGCTCGAAGGGCCGCCCTCACCGCGCCCCCTCTGTGTGTCTCCCCCCCCCGCCCCAGGCCAACACCTTCTACAAGCAGCCGCCGGAGGAGGCCGTCC